TACGAGCGTACGATGTATACGAGGTTACAGAACCTTCGACAGGGTAATCGCACCGTCGACGAATACGCAGAGGAATTTGCACTTTTGTTAACTCGCAATGAGATTAATGATAGTCAAGTCCAAAAGTTTGAATATGCAGAGGAATTTGCACTGTCCTCATTTAAGTATATAGCTTGAGAAAACAAAAGTTAGAATCATCGAAAATAATCAAGAAAGTTTGTTATCTTCTTCTATCTTTTCTGGTTTGTTTCTCTGAAAATCACCATGGATTCCTCATCCTTGCTTTTGAGTTGTTTCTACAAGTAGACTCTTGGCAGGAGAGAGAGCGATTCATTTTTACAGAATGTATTGATACAAGTTCAATGTATTTGCCAACAGCTTTTTATTTTATTTTGAACGGAACCAACGGCTTATTTAATCTACTAGTTTTTTGTGCTTGTCGTCTGTTCACTGAGATAGCTACGGACTTAGATGTGTTGCCCCTTCCCTGTTCTAATTTCCAGCGATGGGCTAATGAAGAAGACAGGGTGCCGCAGCAAGAGAGGTTATTAGAGAAAGGAAAATAAAGTCAGGCTATGTCCATAAAGGTGAGATTCGGTCATCTTCTTGGTTTTATACATCACATATACATTTCTAGAATATACGTCGTGAACAGTTGTTACAGAAGAGACTTTGTGATTGTTCGTTGTCCCACATCGATAATCGTTGAAACCCCATAAATAAATGTACTGGATTTCGATTATTTAAACAAAAAAATATGTTTTTCAAAGGTTTGCTAATATTTTTATTTTCCAAACACTTTTTTTTTTAAGAAAACAATCTATCTTACCCAAGTATTTAAAGTCAGTCTTTACTGAAATAACTTTCATCTTTTGTCTTCTACAAAAAAGCCTATTTCATCTTTTATTTGTTATTAAAAACCTATCCCGTACTCATTCACACATATAAATATTTAAATAATAATTGGTTAATGTTTCCATTCATTTTCTATATTATAAACTCTCGCAAATGATTTAAGACTTTTATAAGTACTTCTTATTGATGGTTTTTAATTTTAAATTATTTATAATATTATATACTTGTTGTAAATAGTTTCAAAATTCCTATAAATGATATATTGTTCTTTATAAATCTTTATAAATTGTTCTGTAAAACTCTTACAATGATAGAATTTCCGTTATTGAGGATTTAAAGATTATATCTTTATAAACCTTACAAAATATACTATTTTATATTATTTATGTACCAGTAGAAATTAATTTGTATAAATGCCTTTTTTAAAATTATTACAACCATCACATATTATTTTAAACTCATTTTAATAATTTATGAACCTTACTTATAACGCATTTATATACGTATATTACTATTTTATTAAAAATGTATGTATATTATGACTAATATAGACAATAAAACGTCTTAACACTGATTTATAATAGGGAAACAAAGCTGTTATATTAGCTTTTATTAGTTACTTTTAAAAATATACATATATAATTTATAAATAAATGATTAATGAACAAAAAGAAATTATAAAGCAGTATATAGATTTTCCATAATTGAGTTAGCTATTATAAATGATCATGTGCAAGATTATATGGATTATTTGACAACTAATACTAAAGTTGAAGAGACAATTTGCTAGATATACAATTTAGGGGACAAAATTAGTAAACTACCCCACGCGCCTATAAACTTCATTTTTCTGTTCATATTTGTCTACCCCATTCCGATTTTACCCTTGAATAAAAACACGCTGCCTATAAGTAACCAATTTTATATTCATATGATAATATCTCTAGGCTTCTAGGTTACTGACAGAAATATAGCTGCATGTACTTTCATCTCACCACATGTTTATGCTGGTCTGTGCAGCTTTTTGCACGAGTAATATCAAAATTTGTCACTGTGAATAGCTTTTTCTTTGTTTCATAATAAATTGGTGTTCATTTATTGACGTTTGAACCAGCAAGATATTTTTAAAAATATCATATATAGTAGTTATCCTTAACGGTTACGAATTAGTCTAAACAATTAATAAACGAATTAGTGTCTACAAAAAAGTATATGTCGTTCCTATATTAGAAAAAATTGCTTAACGGTAAATGAATCATTCGTAGATTTGAAGGTTAATAAGATACGTAGCAGTTAATAAATAGAAGGTCAACAATAATGTTGCTTATAGCAAATACGATTTGATTTGGCGTGATCTGAATTACAATTCTAGGTTAATATTTAGAAATAAGTTTGCAGCTATTATCTTTCCCTTCCACTCATTTTGTTAGGTAATTGTATAAGGTGCATTCAAAAATTTAAAGGAAATCTGAGAGAAATCTATTTGTAACAATCTTGATTTCCCGTTAATGAGGTTAATGGTGACTATCAGTGATGATGTGGTTGCTTGTTAAATGTTAACATTGGATCTTATCTGCTAAGTGTAGACTTAGTTGTTATATTAATAGTTTAACCAGTACCAAAGTAAGTCATTCATATTTGTTATTATTACTTTGTGACTTAGCATCTACTAAATGACATAACACTAAACATATATGTTGGGGTTTCGACAATACCAATAATGCACTGGAAATCTAAGAAAGAGCATTCCATTAATTATGGAAAAAACACTTAGGATACGAATTAAGAGGTAAAAACATTAAAATAGACAAACACATCAACATTATCTGCTCCAATACGAGTCACATCAGCTGAAGTGAGTCCTCCACCAATCACCTTAACCTGCAAATACAAACAACCGAATTCATGAGAACTTATATGCATAGAACACTATCATGAGTTGTATCGATTACTAGTAGGCCTAGGCTACTACCGATACATCCATTAAGATAGTCCATTAGTTAGGTAACAACCAAGATAATTATTACCAGCAATGATATAAATTAGCAATTATTATTTGTGTTAACGTTCAATCAGTAACATCTAACCTACTGATACATCAATAAAAACAACAATGGCTTTGTTACATTAAGCAGCAAGTATATATTATGAGCGCTAAAATAAATCTTAGCAGCTATATATTCAAATAGTTAACAACATAAAGCTTAGCAGTTATTTGTTTAATTTATATTAATAACATCTAATATTAATCTTAGCATTTAAAAAATTGGTGTGCCGGTAACTTTAAATGTAAAGAATTATTAATTATTGTAGCTGTTAATTTTCATGTTATCACGTTATGGTTCTAGAGTAACGTCCATCAAACAAAATTTCAGATCTTTGAAATTAGATACATATAAGCAACTACTAATAAAGATAGATGCTAAGTTGCAAGAAGTACATTCAGATGAAGTGTATCATGTATCATACTTGTATTATAGAAAATGAGTTTTTTGAAGGTCAAACGTAAAAGGTTATTACTATTAACATTATCTGATTACCCTAGCTGTTAAGATGCATGTTAGCCAGTTAAGGGCAAAGAGTAATTTACATTATCTAATTAACATTGTGGGTCTTTCAAATGCCATAACTATTAGCAAATACTAATTAAGATAGCTGCTAAGTTACGAGAAAACTTATTTGAGGGGAGAAAACTTATTTATAGAACATTACCAACCTTGCATTACTAGCCAGATCTTGTACTTTTTCTTCACTCTGAGAATTCGTATAATGATGAACTGGCCAAAACAACCGGAAAAATTAAGGATTATAGGCTTTGGATATGATCTCCCAAACATTGTGTTCCACAAGAAGTTTACTTCTTCCAGATCTAGAGTGCTGATTATGGATTCAATCCTCTTCACTTTTGTGGTGAGTACTACCGACGGGTTCTTCAGCGGCTGCAATTATGCGTCCTGGAAAAAGCAGATGATCCATAACGCAGTTTGCTAAGATTTCTAGGCCTGTGCAAGAAAGAGAATTATATTGTTCTTTGGTTTATGAAGAAAGGCGATTGAGAGGGTGTGACTTTTCACAAAAAAAAGAAAAAGAACTATTAAACACTGTAAATGACAATTTCTCATTTGTTCTCTATAATACTAATGTTGGCGTGTAATAGGCTTAGCTTAGATTCTGACATGAGATCTACAAGTAAAAGATGGTGTAGCTATAGACGTATAGGGGTGTTCTTGTATTAAAAAAAGTTGAACAGTCCCCCGGGTATTCTCCTAATTGTGACAATTCCTATGTATATACGGCCTAAATTCTCAAAGTTGAACCTCTATACACTAATAGTCTATAGATATTAATAAATCTGCTCTGAACTTGGATCAATTCAAAATTTGACATAAATCGATAAAATAATAAGATAATAACTTTTTTTAAAAAAAATCAACATAAATATGATCCCATTAAAATTATAAATTAGTAATTTTGTATATACATATTTTATATAATTATGAAAATATTATTATATTATTTGAACTGAGAAAAAGTAAACGGAGGCCACACACTGGGATTTTGAGTACTCGACACCATAAATTGTTAAAGATGCAAATGGTGGACTTAACATAACTAAAAATTATTAATCAGATTAATTGTCAAATAATAATAATAAATTTTTTATCTAGTGTCAATCAAAAAATAGGATTTTGGGGACCCATTCGGTTTTACTGGAAAAACATGATATATTTATAGTAATCATTTTTGTTGATGAGCTTTCTCTAAGTTTTGATGTGTGATGTTTATATTTCGTATATATAAAGATATCATACATATTTAATGATTTTAGAGATGTTCCGTATAAGTTATTTCTTAATATCTTGAGAGTTTATAATATTCTAAATCTTGTTAATCTACAAAATTTTGAAAATTTTATATAATAAGATTAATTATTTTTAAAATATTAATAAGAAAACACAAATAACAAGAACAACAACAAAAAGGATTAAGAACAAAGCCCAGTCTAGTCCAGCCCAGTACAGCCCAAAATAGTCGTATAAAACCGTTTGGACAGGTAAGGTTTTTCTAGGGTTTACGTATTCTGCAACTAACTTATTGCTGCTCTCTCGACTCTTTGCCGGAAAAATAGACAGCCGCAGTTTTCAATGGCCGACAAAGCAAATTTATTGGGTAAACGAAAGGCGGAGGATGGTTTGAAGACAGAACCGCTTCTGAGGAGGCATAAGGAGAAAGAGACTAGGCAAGGATTAGCTGATAGTACTCTCAAAGGAACAGCAGGAGAGTTGTCGGTGACAAAGGCCGATGAGTCTAATTTAATCTCAGAAAAGGAGGTAAAGATCTGTTTTTGGTTGACATTCTAAGTTAGAATCTTGTTCTTATACTACTCTTTGTGACAGGAGGAGACAGTGGAAGAAAGACTTGATGAAAGTCCTGAGGTATGAGTTATCTTCGAAAAAAACACGTACTTACTCTGGGGGATGCAAAAGCTTATGCCTTCTTTTTGTTTTCGTTCTTGTAAACAATTCAGGAATTTTCGAAGATCCTCTTTGTTGCAAATCTCTCACCCCAAACTGAAACTTCAGATATGTAAGTAGCACATTTGACTTCCCCCTCTGCAAGTTTTTTCCATGACTGACAATTTTTTGTTTTTTCCCTGCAGCATTGATTTCTTCAAAGATGTCGGACAAGTTGTTCGTGTTCGTTTTGTGCTAAGCGCCCGGGGCAACCATGTGGGTTATGGTTTTGTTGAATTTGCTTCTTCTAACCAAGCAAAGATGGTAAGAGTTGTTTTTAAGTAGTCTTGATGAAAAAAAGTATTTAGCTATGCACAGCTTCTTTTTCTTTAATCTGAAAGTAGGATTTCTGATTAAAATCTTTTGTTACCGTAGGCGCTGGAAAGGAAGAACCGTCAATCTTTGCATTGTAGCAAGATTATTCTAGATGAAGCTCCCGATTTTGTTGAGGTACCTACTTCTTCTTCTTATTATCTTCAATATATATATCATGTCATTGCTTAGAACTAATAGAAAAGTTAACGTTCCAATCACATTCAGGAAGCTGCCGTACCAATAAAGACTCTGTTTATTTCCGGTTTCTCTCGCGATTCAACTAAAATATCAGATATGTAAGTAGAACCTTTTTAATTCATTTTCCTGCCAATTTTTTGTTTTTCTTTTGCTAATAATTTTATCTTCCATTTTGGACAGCATCGACTTCTTCAAAGATGTTGGACAAGTTGTTCGTGTTCGACTTGATATCTACGTCAGAGGCAGGCTTGTTGGCTGTGGCTATGTTGAGTTTGCTTCTGCCAACCAGGCAAATAAGGTGAGAGAGTATATGTTTATGTTAAATTGAAAAAGACATTCAAGTTTATACCATTTGCTGATTTAATCTTCTCCACTTGTAGGCCCTGCAAAATAAGAACGGTGAATATTTGCACGATCGCAAGATTTTTCTTGCTGATTGCAGTGGAGCTTGTTTCCTGCCACCCAAGTAAATTAGTGTTGATTTTTCATTTTGTTTCTATTTTTTAGAAGTTTTTGATGCCATTACTACAATGTTTTAACTCTACTATTTGTTTTTTTTTCTTTTGTTAATTAGGTTTTGTGTAGACCACAAGGTTTGGTAAGTTTAGCATCTTGAGTTTTGTTTCACATTGACTGAATTCTTTGGGAGTGATATCTCAAGGTAGAGTGTTCTTGATACTTCTTACAGGTACGAAGAAGAAGACTACCTTCAAGAAGAAAGCCTTCCGTTAGACTCTATCCAAGATGTGGCNCTCAAGGTAGAGTGTTCTTGATACTTCTTACAGGTACGAAGAAGAAGACTACCTTCAAGAAGAAAGCCTTCCGTTAGACTCTATCCAAGATGTGGCGGCGATGGAAGAAGGACCTGACGAAACTCCTCATTCTGCTAATAAGGTACTTATTCTCTGAATCTACTTGGATTTGCTGTTATTGCAAAGCTATAAATCCCTTTTCTCAACATAGTCGTGCTGCTTGTTAATTTCAGGAAGTACTCCTTATTGCCAATCTTTCTCCCCAAACAACTAAAACAGAACAGATGTACGTAGCACAGCTTTTAATATCCTTACATATCCTTCTTCTCGGAGCAAGTTCCAAGTTATTCATGACTGATGATATTTCCATCCTCAGCATCCGTTTCTTCGAAGATGTTGGAAGTGTTGTTTCTGTTCGCCTTATTGTAGACCACGAGGGTAAGCATGTGGGCTATGGCTTTGTTGAATTTGATTCTTCTTACGAAGCAGAGAAGGTAAGACTAGTAGTATTAATGATGTTGAGTATTTTTTAAGTAGTCAATTTGAAATTAACACTTATGATTTAATCTTTTTTATACTGTAGGCTCTGAAAGAGTTGAATGGTGAATATTTGCATGATCACAAGATTCTGTTGATGAGAGGACTTGATGATGAAACTCCCCATTCTCTTGAGGTACCCCGTCTTCTTATTGTCAATTCCAAATGTGTCCAGCGGCTTAGAAGGAAGAAACACTTGTTGTTTAATCACACAACTGTTGCCACAAAGTAGAAATATGACTTATTCTGTGTTGTGCTATTGAAGTCCTTTTCTCGTTAAGAGTTTTGATGACACACTAATTAGCTGTTATTTTCAGGAAGCTGCTACTGTAAGAAATAAGACGCTCTTTGTTTCCGGTCTCTCTCGCCGAACCAAAATATCAGAAATGTGAGTAGGAACCTCAAATTACCACTTCTGTTTTCGTGGGTGAATTTTTGTTCGTGACTTACATATTTTGTTCTCCATTTTACAGCATCAATTTCTTTAAAGATGTCGGAGAAGTTGTTCATGTTCGACTTATTGTAGACCGCTGGGGTAACTTTCACGGGAAAGGCTTTGTTGAGTTTGCTTCTGCTAACGAGGCAATGACGGTGAGATGAAAAGAGTGTATTTAATTAGTAGAGTTATTATGAAAGTAACAATTGCTGATTTGATCCTTTTATTTACTATAAGGCGCTGGAAAAGAAAAACGGTGAATATTTGAACGGTAGCGATGTTTTCCTTGCTGTTTTTGAGACACCTCCATACCACCGACGACCCAAGTAAGTTTACTGTCTTATTGCTCGGGTTTTGATGCATTTCATCAAGATTAACGCTGTTATTTATTATTCTTTTTTTTTCTTGTTAATTAGGTATTTCATAGATCACAAGGTTTGGTAAGTGAGATTTAACTCTATGTGCATCCTTGAGATAGGGTGAAGGCTTTTGTTAGCCAGAGAACATAGGGCGAAGGCTTTTTATGACAAGATCACTCTTGATATTCCAGGTACCAAGACTACCTTCAACGAGAAAGCCTTGAGATAAAAGAAGATGTGGAAAAAGGACTTGATGACACCCCCCATTTTACTGAGGTACCTCTTCTTCTTGTTATCTTCAAAAATATATCAGGCCTAGATTTTAATTACACAACTGTTATGTATTATTATGGTGTTTATTCTACTTTTTCTTTTTTTTTGTTCTCTTTATTGTCTTGTTTTAACACACTTGGCTCGTTTAAAATTCAGGAAATTGTAAGAAAAAAGACGGTGTTTGTTGACGAACTCTCTTACAACACAAGCATATCAGATATGTAAGTAGCAGCTTTTAGTTCCTCTTTCGTTATTGGAGCACGCCTTTCATGACTCATGTGTATTATCCTCCTTTTTTTTACAGCATCAACTTCTTCAAAGATGTTCAAGAAGAAATTATTCGTGTTCGACTTATTGTAGACGGCAGGGGTTACCATGTGGGCTGTTGCTTTGTTGAGATGGCTACTGCTAACGCAGCGAAGAAGGTACTGATAGTCATTTATAGTAATATGATGAAATGTATTCAAGTATTGTAATACTTATGATGATGAACTAGTAAGGGTTTTGCTCGCTAAATATTGTAGGCGGTGCTGGAGAATGATAACACTAGCAAGTTTTCTGTTTACGCTGCTGAGATAGCTGCTCCATATCCTTTCCAACCCAAGTAAATGAATTTAAATTGTTTATTGAAGTTGTGACCCTTGTGCCATAACAAAATATAGTAACGGTATTACTATTCTTTTGGTTAATTAGGTACAAGCTTGCATACCTTGCCGAGAAACTTTGGTAAGTGATCTTTTTAACTATTTCACTTTTTGTGTTCACGTTGGTTGAAATTTATTTATTTTTGGTATTATGTGTTTCTTATAATCAAGGTACGAAGATAACCTTCGCCAAAAAAGCCTTTGTGGTCAGAACAAGGTGATGGATGATAAGAAGATTATTCTAGATGAAGCTCCCGATTTTGTTGAGGTACCTATTTCTTCTTCGTATTATCTTCAATATATATATATATATCATGTCATTGCTTAGAACTAATAGAAATGTTAACGTTCCAATCGCATTCAGAAAGCTGCCGTACCAATAAAGACTCTGTTTATTGCCTCTTTATCTCGCTGTTCAACTGAAATATCAGATATGTAAGTAGAACCTTTTAAATTGTTTTCTTGCCACTTTTTTTGTTATTCATTTGCTAATAATTTTTTTTGACAGCATCGACTTCTTCAAAGATGTTGGACAAGTTGTTCGTGTTCGACTTGATATCAACGACAGAGGCAAACTTGTTGGCTGTGGCTATGTTGAGTTTACATCTGCCAACCAGGCAAATAAGGTGAGAGAGTATATGTTTATATTAAATTGAAAAAGATATTCAAGTTTATATCATTAGCTGATTTAATCTTCTCCGCTTGTAGGCCCTTCAAAATAAGAACGGTGAATATTTGCACGATCGCAAGATTTTTCTTGCTGATTGCAGTGGAGCTAGTTTCCTGCCACCCAAGTAAATTAGTTGATTTTTCATTTTGTTTCTATTTTTTAGAAGTTTTTGATGCCATTACTACAAGTGTTTTAACTCTACTATATTTGTTTTTTTTCTTTTGTTAATTAGGTTTTGTGTAGACCACAAGGTTTGGTAAGTTTAGCATCTTGAGTTTTGTTTCACATTGACTGAATTCTTTGGGAGTGATATCTCAAGGTAGAGTGTTCTTGATACTTCTTACAGGTACGAAGAAGAAGACTACCTTCAAGAAGAAAGCCTTCCGTTAGACTCTATCCAAGATGTGGCNCTCAAGGTAGAGTGTTCTTGATACTTCTTACAGGTACGAAGAAGAAGACTACCTTCAAGAAGAAAGCCTTCCGTTAGACTCTATCCAAGATGTGGCGGCGATGGAAGAAGGACCTGACGAAACTCCTCATTCTGCTAATAAGGTACTTATTCTCTGAATCTACTTGGATTTGCTGTTATTGCAAAGCTATAAATCCCTTATCTCAACCTGGTACTGCTTGTTAATTTCAGGAAGTACTCCTTATTGCCAATCTTTCTCCCCAAACAACTAAAATAGAACAGATGTAAGTAGCACAGCTTTTGATATCCTTACATATCCTTCTTCTCGGAGCAAGTTCCAAGTTATTCATGACTGATGATATTTCCATCCTTAGCATCCGTTTCTTCGAAGATGTTGGAAGTGTTGTTTCGGTTCGCCTTATTGTAGACCACGAGTGTAAGCATGTGGGCTATGGCTTTGTTGAATTTGATTCTTCTTACGAAGCAGAGAAGGTAAGACTAGTAGTATTAATGATGTTAAGTATTTTTTAAGTTGTCAATTTGAAATTAACACTTATGATTTAATCTTTTTTATACTGTAGGCTCTGAAAGATTTGAATGGTGAATATTTGCATGATCACAAGATTCTGTTGATGCGAGGACTTGATGATGAAACTCCCCATTCTCTTGAGGTACCCCCTCTTCTTATTGTCATTTCCAAATGTGTCCAGCGGCTTAGAAGGAAGAAACACTTGTTGTTTAATCACACAACTGTTGCCACAAAGTAGAAATATGACTTATTCTGTGTTGTGCTATTGAAGTCCTTTTCTCCTTAAGAGTTTTGATGACACACTAATTGGCTGTTATTTTCAGGAAGCTGCCACTGTAAGAAATAAGACGCTCTTTGTTTCCGGTCTCTCTCCCCGAACCAAAATATCAGAAATGTGAGTAAGAACCTCAAATTACCACTTCTGTTCTCGTGGGGGAATTTTTGTTCGTTACTTATATATTTTGTTCTCCATTTTTACAGCATCAATTTCTTTAAAGATGTTGGAGAAGTTGTTCATGTTCGACTTATTGTAAACCGCTGGGGTAACTTTCACGGGAAAGGCTTTGTTGAGTTTGCTTCTGCTAACGAGGCAATGACGGTGAGATGAAAAGAGTGTATTTAAATAGTAGAGTTATATGAAAGTAACAATTGCTGATTTGATCCCTTAATTTACTATAAGGCGCTGAAAAAGAAAAACGGTGAATATTTGAACCGTAGCTATGTCTTCCTTGCTGTTTTTGAGACACCTCCATACCACCGACTTCCCAAGTGAGTTTACTGTCTTATTGCTCGGGTTTTGATGCATTTCATCAAGATTAACGCTGTTATTTATTATTCTTTTTTTTTGTTAATTAGGTATTTCATAGATCACAAGGTTTGGTAAGTGAGATTTAACTCTATGTGCATACTTGAGTTTTGTTAGCAAGAGAACATAAGGTGAAGGCTTTTTTTTTTGCTGGTATCTACATGAAAAGATGACAAGATCACTCTTGATATTCCAGGTACCAAGACTACCTTCAACGAGAAAGCCTTGAGATAAAAGATGTGGAAAAAGGACTTGATGAGACCCACCATTTTACTGCGGTACCTCTTCCTCTTGTTATCTTCAAAAATATATTTCAGGCCTAGAGTTTAATTACACAACTGTTATGTATTATTATGGTGTTGATTCTACTTTTTCCTTTTTTTGTTCTCTTTATTGTCTTGTTTTAACACAATTGGCTCGTTTAAAATTCAGGAAATTGTAAGAAAAAAGACGGTGTTTGTTGACGAACTCTCTTACAACACAAGCATATCAGATATGTAAGTAGCAGCTTTTAATTCATCTTTCGTTATTGGAGCACGCTTATCATGACTCATGTGTATTATCCTCCTTTTTTTTTACAGCATCGACTTCTTTAAAGATGTTCAAGAAGAAATTATTCGTGTTCGACTTATTGTAGACGGCAGGGGTTGCCATGTGGGCTGTTGCTTTATTGAGATGGCTACTGCTAGCGCAGCGAAGAAGGTACTGATAGTCATTTATAGTAATATGATGAAATGTATTCAAGTAGTGTAATACTTATGATGATGAATTAGTAAGGGTTTTGCTCGCTAAATATTGTAGGCGGTGCTGGAGAATGATAACACTAGCAAGTTTTCTGTTTACGCTGCTGAGATAGCTGCTCCATATCCTTTCCAACCCAAGTAAATGAATTTAAATTATTTATTGAAGTTGTGACCCTTGTGCCATAACAAAATATAGTAACGGTATTACTATTCTTTTGGTTAATTAGGTACAAGCTTGCATACCTTGCCGAGAAACTTTGGTAAGTGATCTTTTTAACTATTTCACTTTTTGTGTTCACATTGGTTGAAATTTATTTATTTTTGGTATTATGTGTTTTTTATAATCAAGGTACGAAGATAACCTTCGCCAAAATAGCCTTTTTGGTCAGAAGCCCAAATCCATTCTGAATAAAAACATGGTGATGGGATATGGTTTTGGTAAGAAGACTACCTTCTCTGACGACGAGTGAAAGAAGATGAAGATGCTCTTCTCGGATTTATAACTTATTTTATATGTAAAGCAAAGATTTCTTTAATCCCCAAATACTCTACTTTTCTTAGTCGCTTGCAAATATTGAAGGCCTAATATGCATTTATTTGGCCTTAAAAACAAAGTGTGATACCAAATTTTCTTTATTTGATGAGTTCCTGTTTAAAAATGACTGTTTTGGTGTACCCTTGTTTTTTGTTGGACTTCTTTTTGTTCTCACTGTGCGTAACCCTTACATAGTTGTGTTCATCTTCAACTTAATCCTGTCATAGTGGTTATGCTTGGAATTACATATTTGGTCATGTCAGGTTATTTGTTTTAGATCCTGCGACTGCGAGTCCATCACTGAAGAAGCGGTTAGCTCGTGCTGTAGGTAACTTCCCGTCTACTATTTGGTCTCCATTTGATCAGCTTTTATCTATCTCTTTGTAATTTTGGACTGCTTACATGCGATTTTTGTTAAACCTTCATATACATCCTACATTTCTCTTTTCCTTTCAAGTAAGTGGTTTAAAGACTTAACATGAGCGTAGACAGCAATTGGGCCACCTAACCTCAGACTTATCTTTCAAATCTAATTCAACTCAAAAGGTCTCTGTGAACTTGCCTTTTTATCGGAGAAAAGCACCATATTGTCCTTGATTCTGAGGTCTTTCCTTCAGTTTACAGACACTTCACAGGGCAATGATATCAAATAATTATTGTGATACTTTTTGGACCAAAGTAATAAATGTGAATTGAATTTGGAAAATACATAATGGGCATCACCGAGATCCCCTACTGAAGGCTTCAGAGAGATTTAATTTTTAGTCGAGACTGAGTGGCATTACCTGGAAATATTAAGATGAAGAAAGGATTATTTTCCAAATGTACTTCAGTTTTGTTAGTTTATATGATTGGTTAATGACAAATAGAAAAATTCATACCAAAGATGTAGCATCATTTAAACAAGTTTAAGACTGTATATATTTTAGGTATTTTTAATTAAATAAAATATAAATAAACTTATAAATTTGAGTCAAAATATGATATTATATTTTAATTCTCTAAAGTCTATTTTATACCCGTAAATTCACGGACATCTACGTAGTTTAACTATAAATGAACATTACTTTGCAACTATTTCATATACAATCTCATCATCTTAAAGTCTCCCTCTAGATATATTTGTACCTTTGTAGTCTGTGTTGTCCTATATTCGTTTTCCAGAGGGAGAAAAGCACCAGAAATAGCCAACAATGGTGATCGTTAGCACATTGTTCTGTCTGATGTTTTACGTTAAACGAGTTTCTAAATCCGACGTGAACTCAAATTCTGTTACTCGGACAAAGATCTTTACGTTGTTATTTTGTCGTGTGTATTATGACAATGAGTTATTTTTTTTTATCAAACCTTTCATTAAAATTAAACAGAGTTTATAGACCTTGAAAGCTGTTTGAAAACATAAACAGGGAATTTTTCGCAAGCACATCCGCTTCTACATTACCACTACGAGAGATAAAACGATAAGAGATAGAGTTAAGGGATCGGCTCAACACACATATGTCATGGAAGATCCCTTGAGAGCAGTCACAGACTTGTTTCCTGTGAGCAGATTAGACAACGAGAATCTAAAAAAACTGATGATGTCTTTAATTCCAGCCGCAATGGCTTTTGAGAGTCCTTCCTTTAGAGCAAGAGCTTCGGCAGCAAGAGCTGAAGCCACAAATCTTTTTGGTGAGCTTCCTTGAAGGAAGATGTTTCCTGATGGGTTTTTAATCACCCAACCCAAACCACCAGCACAACTAGAGCTGTTCCAAGCCGCATCTGAGAGGAGATTAGAGGCAATTACCAGAACACTGGTTTGGTAGCTCGGAGAGGAGTAGTCTTTAGGGGAAGCAGTAGGTTTTTTAGGCTGTTGCGTCGTGGCTTGCCACTCTTTCACATTCTTTATCGCCTTTAACATCTCTGCTTCCGAGAAAGACTTATCTTCGAAACGTAATTGATCCCTGCTAGTCCACAAGACCCAAAAGATCCAAGGGTACAGGGGAGTAGACAGTCCAAGAGGGGGAAGATTTATCATCTTGGTACACTTCTTTAGCAAATCTTCCATTGAGTGACAGGAAGCTCTTGATGGAATTAAGTATGCTGGGAGCAAATCCCACACTCTGATCGCTACAGTCCGTGAGTACATAACATGAAACACAGTCTCTATCTCCCCCACACCTTTTGCACTTCCAATCAACTTGCATGCCACGTTTAATCAGCGTTTCTCCCACTGCACGTGCATTGTTCTTCAGTTTCCAAAGGAAGTGTTTTAGCTTAGGAGAGCTCTTCACATTCCAAATACACTGTTTCCAATTGAAAGAATCAGAGCTGTTCCCCTTGTTTAGCTTTGCCAAAGCATGACCTGATTTTGTTGAGTATTCTCTCGATTTTTCAAAGAGCCAGATACGTTCATCCTCAATATTATTTGAACTCAGAACCAGCTTCTGGATGGAAGACGCATACTGAGGGAGATAGAGGTTTACTTTCTCCGCATCCCATTCTGAGCTGTTTGGGAGAATGAGATCTTTAACCTTCAGGTTTTGAGCAGCTTCAGTTGGGGGCCAATAGGACTGGCTTGGTGGTCAGTAAAAAGCCAGTTCTGTCGCCATATCGGGATCGACTCTCCGTTGCCAACAAACCACCCCATCCCTCTGTTAATAATGTCTCTACTCGCCAGTATCCCACGCCATCCATGAGAGGCCGCGTTTGGGGCTGAGCAGGTGAGAAAATTGATATCACTCAAATGTTTAACCCTAAGGAGTGAATTACTCTCTCAAATAAGAGGTTCAATCGTAGTACTTAAGGATCGAATCCACAAGGAACTAGAGACAAAAAAGATGTAATCCTAAGTGATTATGCTAGGTTGATTTAGTTTAAAATAGTAAATTGCAGTTGTGAGCAATGGTAAGTTGCTCAAGAGAATGAGTTTTAGGTTTTAAAACAATAAAAGAAAATAGTTAGATTCAAGGTTACTATTCAGAAAATTAGGATTATAATGCTATAGATGTTTTAATGAGTTGCTTGCAAATATATGAGAACTTTAATTCTTAGACAGATCTAATAGCTATCGCTAAATAGACTCGTCCATTGATCTGATAGCCGACAATATCGACCGATGTTGCTATCGCAGTGTCGGTCGATATGAGTTGCCGTCGATCGATTACTCTATAGGAGTATCGATCGATATAGCATCAAATCGAATTGAAACTGTGTTCACCGAGATCTTTAGACCCCCTATTGCACGTGCCTAAAGGATCTGAGCTTATGCCAAATGGTTTCAGGATAATGATTAACAAGTTAAATTATTCCATGATCATACTCTAGTTAGCTACTCTAGAGTAAGCATTAGGGTTCATCTGGATAATGAATATAACAACTCAACATTCCATAGTTTGGGGCTAATCTAACAAGTGAATCTAGTCAGACATGGCTAAGCAATTCATAACAACAAGGTAATAATAGAAATTCATAAGATTAGAAGATTGAACTTTTGGTTCTTTGGAACAACAAATCTCTTTGTGTGTTTCTTCTAAATCTAGAATTCTATAACCTTTGATGAAAATGAGAATAAGATGAAAATAATACTTTATTAGAAGTAATAAGAAAAGAACATAAAGGCACTCAAAAGAATGTAAAAGCACTCTAAGCATGCTTTGCCAAAACACATAGGCATAACTATAAATACGATTTCAATTAGGTTAAAAACTCGTCAGGGGCATTATTGTAATAATGAGAAACTTGGGCTTCAAGTCGGCCAAGTAGAACTTTCTCTTCACGCTCTATATCGATCGATAGTACATGGCGTATATCGATCGATGGAGTATCTCGACTTCGTCTTCTATGGATGCGTCATCGATCGATTACACAAGATGTGTATCGATCGATATGTATCTCTGGATATCGACCTTGTTGTCTGATCTTCATAGTCATCTCGGAAAACTCTCCTTTAAGCTCCATAAGGGCACATAAATCATCACTTTACTCCAAAATGCTTTTGAACCTGAAAACATACCTAATAGACTCCAAAACATAGATAAATATTATAAAACATATCAATACCATGGCTAAAAGCGGGTCAAAACCATGGTATATCAAAAATCTTGGTGCAAGCAATATTTATTTTACAGAGTTTGACCCAGCAAGGAGGACGGATTCTTTAGCAGCTTCCAAGAGTGTTTTGCCAGTAGTGCATCATTAAAGATTTCAATTTCTCTGAAGCCAAGGCCACCAACACCCTTTGGACACGTTAATTTATCCTAAGAATTCCAACACATGTTTTTTGTAATTCCAATTTATATCCCACCAAAATCTGGTGAGAACACTTTGGATTTGCTTACAAAGGGATTTTGGTAGCTTGAAGCATGACATAGCATAAGTCGGCATAGCTGCAGCACTGCTTTTAGAAGCACCATTTTCCCTGCCCCGGATTAGAATCTTGCAGTCCATCCATGCGCCCGTTGTTTAATACGGTCCACTATCAACACAAATATATCTCTTTCTTTTCTTCCAAAGTGTTCCGACAATCCAAGGTATTTGCCAATACCTCCTTCATTCGAAATATTGACTTCCCGCTTTGCCCGGATTTTGCATTCAAGACTGGTTTTGGAGAGAAAGTAATCGCAGATTTTCCGGTTTATTAACTGTCCCGATGCTGCCTCATATCTGTCCAGAACTGAGAGAAGAACGGAGCAGCTCGCAGCATTTGAATTTTCAAAAAACATTGTGTCGTCCGCAAACAACAAATGATTGATTGGTGGGCAGTTACGACCGACTTTAATCCCGGGGAGAGTACCTCGAGTTTGAGCCTGTTTACAAAGTCTCGAGAGTACCTCAGTGCAGATGATGAAAAGGTAAGGAGAAATCGGGTCTCCTTGTCGAAGGCCTCTAGAGGGCACAACCTTTCCTTGTGGTCCACCATTTATAAGGAAGGAATACGAGACCGATGAGACACATTCCATGATCCATGAAATCCACACCTCATGGAATCCTAGCCGGTTCAGAACTTCCCTCAGAAAATTCCATTCAATCCTATCATAGGCTTTGCTCATATCCGTTTTCACGGCCATAACCACGTGTTTCCTAGCACCCTATTTCCTCAGAAAGTGTAGTATCTCATGAGTGATCAGCACGTTATCGGAAATTGCTCTTCCCGGCACAAATGCTGATTGCGATAGTGAGATCAGTAGTCCGAGTAGAGGCTGGAGCCGTTTTGACAAGATTTTGGCAATAATCTTGTAATGCGTGTTACACAAGGCGATGGGCCTGTAATCTGAGACTTTTTTGGCTCCCGTCACCTTCAGGATCAGTCTAATATGGGTCTCGTTTTGTCTCGGGTGCAAGAAGCTGTTCTCAAAGAAGCTTCTGATATCTATGTAAATATCGTCACCGATGACGTCCCAAAAAGTCTGATAGAACCCGGCTGAGAAACCGTCCGGTCCAGGCGTTTTATCAATATGAATTCAGAACACCGCATTCTAGACCTCCACTTTATCCGGGAGAGCTATTAACCGTTCATTCATTTCCGGCGTTATTTTGGGAGAGAGAGCTTCATTAACCACTGCCTTAGCATCAGTGTTCCCGGTCGTGAAGAGATGTTGGTAGAACAGAGAAAAGGAATTGACTATTTGTTTTTCCTCATAAAATGCCTTCCCGGTTTCGTCCTCTATGATTGAGAATTTGTTGCAGGCTCGACGTCCCCTGGTAACAGTATGAAAGAAGCTTGAATTTTTATCACCACCATTAAGCCACTGAATTCTACTTCTCTGTCTCCAAAACGCTTCTTCTTCTTCATATGCTTTCTCAAGTATTGCTTTTATCTCCTCTATTCTGCCAGGGACTGGCGAGACATCAGAAAGAGCTTGTTCAAGCAAGAGCTGGTTTGAACTAATTAGTTCTTTACTTGAGGTTGACTCTGTGTTTGCCCATTCCACTAGTTTGCGTTTAACATTACAAATATTTGTAATAACAGAGTCAATATCTGAGGAAATCCAAGACGCCTCGACTAGATTACGGATCTCCGGCTTTTCACTGAGACGTCGATCATACCTAAAAAGGCATTTCTTCTTTATCAGATTCTGGTGAAAGTGAGCTAACAGTGGCCGGTGATCCGAACCTTCAAAGCGTAAGTAGTCACTTCTTGCTGAAGGGAAGAGTTCCATCTAGTCCACATTAGCCATGGCTCGGTCAAGGCGTGATTGGATGAAGTGTGAGTATCTTGTACCTCTCTAAGATAGGGAATTTCCAGAGAATTGGAGATCGCACAATCCAATCATAGATACAAAATTTCGGAACGATAAAAACGAGCCTTCCCACCTCGGTGGTCCTCCAACTTTTTCAGAGTTGTCTAGGAGGTCATTAAAGTCTCCCATGATTAGCCACGGAGATGTTCTGCCCCTTCCTATCTATGTCATACTCTCCCAAAAAATTGGGTGGTCTTCTCTATTGGGGGCACCATAGATGTTCGACACATAAAACGTTTTATTATTGAACTCAATTCTCATGTCGATTACATTTGCAGAGGAAAATAAGACTTCAAGCTGGACATTTTCTTTCCAAGAGAGGGCTAGTCCACCATTTAATCCCACCGGTGGGACTGTATATAGATTCTTGTATTCCGAGCCCTTGTACAACCTGAAGATTTCCTCATCTTGCTTTTTAGTCTCCATTAGGAACGTGATGTCTGAAAAGTTTTTGGAGCGAAACTCTCTGAGACGACAAACTGTCAGTTTTCTCCCGATACCCTGACAGTTCCAGCTCATACTTACTAAGGAAGAGGATTTGGAGCGGACTGAAAATCCGTTCCTTTTTTTTTAATCGCCAGGATTATAGTAGAGCGAGGTTGGGTGCTTCCCCTTGTTGTTCATGTTCCTTTGTTGGTTTGTATTGAGCCTGAGACACACTTTCCTTTTGGTGAGATCTGAGATTTGGAGACTCGACGTTTCTTCAAGCTCGTACCAATGATAGGACGTCTCACCGTACGCTTTTTCGTCGTAGCTGGTTTAACAGCCTTTTCTTTTCCATCTTACAGTAGATTTAAGTCTTTTGCCACTGTTCTGGATAGCTACATTTTCTCCCTCATCGAAGATTTGAAGAGGGCCTAGTCTCAGCGAAACATGAAGTCTATCCTCGCTAAGTGATCTGATTGGTGATCGGTCTTGAGTAGCATCATAATCCTGCTCATGCTCTTGTGCTGTATTTTTAGAGGATGAAGGGACATTGCTAGCTCCTGATTGAAAGATTGGCAGGGTTTCATCCAAATATTGGATATCAACCTCCTGGAGTCTCCCTGATTCTGCATTTGCTGTCCCTTCATGAAGGAGTGGGACTCTTTCCTTGGGTAGGGAGATTCTATCCAAAGGTGATCTTAGTTCTTGTGAGAGGGGATTGCTTTCCCCTGATCTCTGCCTGCCACTGCTGATTCCCATCATCAAGCTAGAACCACCTTCTCTATGAGGTCTAGGTGATGGAGTATGGGATCCTTGAGAACGTCCAGTTTTTAAAGTCGTTTCGATTCTTGAGCCAGAAGCAACCAGTCTCCATTCATTTCGTGGCGTTTGGGTTTTAGATCTAGACTCTGACTCCCTGTGAGAAGAAGCTGAACTGTCTTTTGGAATGAGAGTCTCGCCGTAGCAGGTAGACGGTTACCCGTCTCTTTTGTCTCGACACGAGAAGGGAACGGGTTGAAAGAAGGGTCTTTCCTGGCTCCATAGTTGTAGCGGAACTCTCTATCTTGTTTCCAGTCAACCTCCCGAGAGTGCTGGTGCTGCCATTGATTAGGGTGGGGATTTCTTTGATAGTTGGCATTTTCTGAGTTTTCTCTTGTCTCCCTCCTCGCTGCAGACCTTCTTCTATCAGCATCAAGCTTATCCAAAGTACGCGACTGAGAAATTCCGATTCTAAATGAGGGGATTATGGCGTTAGCTTGAGCTTATTGCAAGGGACAGTCATCCCTTTCATGTGACAGAGAATGGCAAATGAAGCAGTGTTTCTCCAGATTTTCGTACTCTAACTCCACTTGCTTAATCTCCCCTGAAGGGAGACTAATGTCCAAAAACATTTCCAATGGTTTAAGTCCATTGATGAGGACTCTGATTCTTCCCCTCTCCACATCAAACTCCTCCACCGGTCCTAATTCTTCTCCAATTGTTTCAATAGCTGCATCAGACCAGTAATGTGAAGGAATTCCATGGATCGTTATCCAGAATGGAATGAGAGCTGGGAAGAAGTCCGAAACTATTGGTTCCCATCTCTGGAGAATCACCATCCATCTCTTGAAGTGGTATGGAGCTCCTGAGAGGATAGTTTGAAGATCATGTTCAGTTTCAAACTTAAACTGAAACAGGTTTGGCCCCAAGTCCCTTCCGGTGATAGATCTCACCACACGCCAGTGTTGTAAAAACAAATCTACAAGGGCTCTGGTTTTTTGGATCGAAGGATTTGTGACCCTTCTTATGAGAGTAAGCTTGTGTTCCTCTATTCGAGCCGAAGTGTCGACAGCAGGTATCTTAACTGGTGGTCTTCTAACTTGTCTCACCGAGTCAACCACCCATTTGCCTTTATCCGTTCTAGAGTTTGGTACGCCATTAATGACTGCGCAGAAACTTCCCAACTGTAACCTTTATGAATACCTAACTGCAGTGAGCAGTAACTACCCAAACACAGGGCAAAAACCTTAGAGATAAGGTAATTAGGACTGTATTAGACAGTAACTTGAATACATGAAGCTTGAGACATAGAGCTTATTAAGTGCCTAGACAAAGCCATTAAATCTCTGTCTGCTCCTAGAGCATTCTCCCAACAGATCTGCATTAAATGAGTCACTGGACCACCATTATGAGACCGTTCGGGTGAAGCTCCAGAGAGTTGGTGCGGTGGTGATTTAATGAAGCACGACGGAAGAGACTGGTAGGTGCGGTGGAGAATTTGAAAATTACCACAAACTCAAATTCGGAACAGTAGTCTCGAACTTAGCGCCTGGGAGAAAAGTCGCCTTCTCCCTCATTATTTATGACAATAATTTAAAGAACAACCTTAAACTAGACATATATATATATATATATATCAAGGAAGAAGAATGAAGAATTGGATCTGAAAGAAGGCACTCGTTTGATTGAGAGTGTCTACATTGGGCAAGAGAGATCGAATATGTTGATCATGGATCTTAAATTTAATCAGTGTTCTAAAACGCGGCCGCGGAAGCGATTACACGCCCGACTAGGCGCTCCGCGGGTGAACACCGCCTCGAATTGGATCAAACCGGTCCAACTAATCGGATTACCGCCTAACCGGTGAAAAACCTGATTAACCGCTTAAATCCGAATTAAAAACCGATTTGAAATGCTAAATATTTGGACTTTACTTTCAAAATTGGGCCTTAAATAAGCCTATTTTGTTGAAGACTTCTGCTTAAACGACGTCCATCAATTTATAGGGTGTTCAAAGATCTCTCCCACTCAAGTTTAGTCGATGTGGGACAAAAGTATATTGTTTTCAAAAGTTTTTTCCATAAATGGCACTAAAATCGAAGGAATATAATAGCTCGGTAGAAGAGTCGAACCTACTACCTGCGAGAGCTATAAATTCATGACAAACCACTGCACCATGCTGTTCTTATACATAGTTTTCACATATATTAATATACATGCGTATATTTATAATTAAATATTTAAAAAACTAATCCCCGATTAATCCCCGATTAATCCCCGATTAGTTTCCGATTAATCAGCTAGACGCTAATCCCAACCTGACCGCCCGACTAGCGCCTAACGAGTTCTTGAACATTGAATTTAATCAACACCAGTAAAGGGTCTCCCTCCACCACCCCCCCCCCCCCACATTGCCTTTGTGATGCTACCTTTAAATTTTCGGAAACAAATACTGATTCTCCGCCTCAGTCTCTATTCCTCATCGTTACTTGCGTATTTCCTCTTCAGAGTTGTCCATTTTCACCATCTTTTGCAACCTCTCGGTCTTTATTTTTGTTTCGCTAACTTTTAGCTGAAGTTGATTCAACCAAATCGCAATTCATCCTATCGACACTCGACAGCTTCAGTCATTCATAAATAAACAAAATATCATTATCTAAGTTGATTCAACCAAATCGCAATTCATCCTCCCAAGAAGCTCATCACTCATCACGCTCCAGAATAGTATAGTACCTCTTGGATCTTTGCGTAATATCCCACAAACAAAGTTGAGTCTTCAATCAAAGATTCCAATCCCAGTTTGGTGCACATGGCTGAAACACGTCTTCAACCCAATCCAGCATCCGAGAAGGGCCATTGCATACATTGAGCAGCATTTCTTTGTTTTCTATTCACTGAATCTTTCTCCCCTTGAGTTTTATCTCACATCACCGAATCTTTTTTCTACGCAAGTCCTTTCAACCCCATAGAACCAAACAAAAAAAATCATAAAGAAAAAAGAAAATTGAAGTGAAAACTTTGTTGGGGTTTGGGTGTATACTTAAGAATGGTATCTCCGACCTGAAAGTGTATTGAAAACCCAATCATTGGGACTTGTAGAAACATTAGTGGTAGGAACTAACCAATGGAGTATGTATTGACGGGAAGGGACAGAAGCTGAAATCATTAAGACAGTAATCAGCGGAATAAACATTTTTTATAGACTATATTTTGCTTTTATAGGCCATAGGGAAGATGTCTGGTTTTGGAGTAAAGTAAGGGGTTTAATAAAAAAACTATATTGAGTTGGTACATATAGAGAGGAAGATAGTGGAGTTGATTATATCAATTACTTACTTCCATTTCCAACTCCATTTATGCTCACAAAAAAAAGAAGCTCATGTTAGCAACTGACCTTGTATGCTCATGATCAACACAAAAGAGATCCTACGGTCTAAGTGAGTGATTGTTACACCTTGTGCCCAAAATTGATGACTGCAACAAAACAAAAATTAACCACCAAAATTAGATTTAAGGTTTTAGTTTAGAATATAAGCACAGAGCAAACTGTCTAAACTACATAGTACATTTTCTGCTGTTCTTCCCTTATCTTCGTCCTTGGCCCTCATCCTCATCATCTTTCTTGTACTCATCATCTCTTCTTCATCAATCTCAGCATCATCAACCTCGTGGTGACTTTATATTGATTATGAATTATAAGTTGAGTGGTGATCATTCGGAGCTACGAATTTGGATGGGTAATGAATATAAATAAGTAAACAAAAATATGTAATGAGCTATTTATATTTTCTTCTCATTTTTTTTTAATTTCGTCACAATGCTTACTTATGAAATTGAGCTGAATTTGATTAGTATTTTTAGTGTTTTGAGCATTTGTGACCTGTTATAGTTGGTTAGAGAATACAAGGCAGTCCATGGTTTTGCAATTAGGTTATGGTAGTTAACTGCAGGCCATTTATTATAGGATAAAATATAGTTATATACAACACTAATACATCTATAGAAATTATTTCCTAACGAAATTTATCATAATGAACAACTGATGCACAATGACTACATCATGCTAAATGTTTGAAGTTTATATGAAATTACATCTTTCTAGTTCAGTGTGCTATATGTTATTTTAACTAAGTGGAATAATTCACATAGAACATTTACATTCTATATTATACTGTCATATTTTATGGTCTTATCTTGAAACTTTTGGACATATTATAATGTAATCTAATGTAATCAATCACAAAAGTGTTGGGATATTATAGTGTTTATCGATTCAACTTAATGCATTCATATCATAAGTAATAACATATGTAATTTGATCATGGAGAACATTACGTATCATCACTACATTGCATGTTGTATAGATCACTATTTACTTATATTCCTAGTTAGTTGTATTTTGTTATGATTATGAAAAAATCAATAGGATGTCGTCCTTACATGTGTGAAACAAGCACTCGTTTCGCCAACTGCCTTGACCAATACATGAAGTCTTACGGAAATTCGGAACAACCCCAGGTTCTGTGTTCGCTATAAAGACCGCTCGCGTGGGTGTTCATCTATATTAATCAAATTTTTAAATGTTTGGTATATATATTTTTATCATTAACATAAAACATGTTATAGATTTATAATGATTATTATAATTTTCAAGTCTAGTATTATTGGTTTATAGATTCTCACTTTCTTATTACAATCAAGTATTATTGGTTTGATGATTCTATAAAACATTATTGGGATAACAAAAAAAATTAGATTTTAGTGATTTTACAAATCTACTAAAGTAAGTATTATTGGGAGTTGTATTCTTATCCTTTTAACTCACAAATAATGATTTTGAGAATAATAGATGTTTCTCTTGGATTCTTGAAATCATTACATTATTTTATTCATAGATTTTCGTAATATACAAAATTCTCTACAATTCTTTCCAAAATTAACAAATCTCACAACTTTTCAAATCAACAAACTCTATAGAAATCTAAAAGTCCCACTAACACCCCCTTATACACACAAGAATTTCTTTTAGATGCAATTATTTAATTATTGGATCTGAAAGAAGGCACTCGTTTGATTGAGAGTGTCTACATTGGGCGAGAGAGATCAAATATGTAGATCATGGATCTTAAATTTAATCAACACCAGTAAAGGGTCTCCCCCCCCCCCCTCCCCACTGCCTTTGTGATGCTACCTTTAAATTTTCGGAAACAGATACTGATCCTCCGCCTCAGTCTCTGTTCCACATCGTTACTTGCGTATTTCCTCTTCAGAGTTGTCCATTTTCACCATCTTTTGCAACCTCTCAGTCTCCATTTTTGTTTCGCTAACTTTTAACTGAAGCATGTCTGCCTCTGCTTGCTTCAACCTCACAATTCTCTCTAGCTCGTCTCTCTGAAGTTTCTTCTTCTGCCTCTCTGCTTGCAATTTTTCTACTTCTTTGGCTTTCAGCTCTATATCAACACTCGACAGCTTCAGTGACAGTGAAGAAAATGATTAGACTAATCAAAATAGTAGTCATTCATAACAAAGTGTGATTTCTTTCATCCCCAAATACTCTGCTTTTCCATATACTTATATTTCTCAGACTGGATAAACAAATATTAAAATTGATAAAAAAAAATATATATATATATATATATATATATATATATATATATATATTAAAAGAATTCCCTATCGATCAAAAGGAGATTATGAAAGAGATATGCTCTTCTTTTATTTCAAAACTAGGGGTTTGCCCGGGCTACGCCCAGGTTTTTTGTATTACAATTTTAAACATCCCAATTCGGAAATCTAGTGGCTTGACTGCGCTTCGTGTGGGATAGTTATTGTGTGTGTTTGATTTAGGTGTTCCCAGGACGTTGTGTCATTTGCGTAGGTCATATGGGTAAAGCATAGTTGAGTGTTTGATCTGTTGTAAGTGGTCTAGTTAGTAATCGTGTTTTGTTCTTCATTATGTGCTTTGAGATGGGTTTTTTGTAATAATATTTGGGTGTTTGTATGTATATTGTATATTGAGGGTTGGATTTGAAACGTGGTAAACGTTTTTAGTCTTCGTATATTTATGTAGAAGCCGGAAAACCGGATCGACACAGACGATATAAGAAATACGGAGTTAAGGAAAGAAACGATTATATGAGACACGGAGGCGAGATAAATCTCTTTCCTTAACTCTTAATATTCGCTCTGTAGTGAGACGAAACTGTA